CTGCTGCGAGAAGCTCGAGATGCGAGATGCAACGTCCGTGCGCGCGTCGAGGAAGCCAGTGCGCATGCCATTCGTGATTTGCCGCAACGTTCCACTTGCGCATCACGTCACGTGATTTGCGACCAGCACGCAGGCAGGCAAGCAGGCACGCGCATGCACGCACGTACACGCGACGTCGATCGCGGGCGCGTCGCCGCGGGGCCAAGTTGCATGCGTGGCGCGTGCTGCGTGCTGCGTGCTGCGTTCGCGCTTTCATCACCGCGACTTGCGACTCGGATTCGCATGTACTCGTGGCTCCCGACGTGATCATTCGCGCTCACACTCGCGCTCACTCGCGCTCACACTCACACCCACACTCACACTCACACTCACACGCACACCCACACTCACACCCACACTCACACTCTCCACTGCACATGCCACTAGACGCCACAGCCGCTGCAGCCGCGCAAGGCAAGTTCACCTCCAGCATCCCACCGCGCACCAAGGGTCGACCGTCGCGGCATAGGTTGGAACAGGAAGCTGCAGAGAGGGCGGAATGGAGACGCAAAGTGAATGCAGAAAGGGCTCTCGCTGGCATGCCGCCCCTCAGTCCAAGTCCACCAGCGCCCGATCCTTACCCTACAGGCAGGCGCAGGGTGGGCGAGGCGGAGAAGCAGGCCGCTGCTGCTGCTGCTGCTGCTGTCCAAGTTGCGCGTGGTAGTGCGTCTGCGAGGCCACAAAGAAGCGCCGCCATAGTCAGGCAAGAGATTGGTTATGGAGGAGATGATGATGACGATGAGGAGGATGATGATGAGGGGGAGCAGCTGGAGCGGGGGGAGGATGGCGAGGATGGCGAGGGAGAGAAGGGGCGCCGCTGGAGCTCATCACGCAGTGCGGCTGCGCGACCTCGGCAGTCGCCTCAGATCAAGCAGCAACCCTTCAGCCCAGTGGCATCGCACGCTCACCCGCCGCAGTCGCAGTCGCAGTCGCAGTCGCAGTCGCATGGCCACGCCTACCCTCACAGCCACGCACACATTCAAGTGCCGAGTCAAATGCCACCACAACATCCTCACGCCCACGCGCATCCCTACTCGCACTCGCCAGCACACTCATCGCACTCACCCGCCCACCTCCAACCTCATCGCTTCCCTGCTCACCTGCCCTCCAGCGCTGCTGCCAGCACCGCACCCGCACCCGCACCCGCACCCACGCAAGGCGGTCTGCGACCCACAACGCCCCTGCTCGACCTCAAGTCTCAAGAGCTCGCTTCCATCACCCCAGCCCCGCCAAACACAGATCCGCCAGAAGCGCGCTACTGGTTCCACAACCTGGGTCCGCCTGGCAACAGTGCAGGTGCAGGTGCAGGTTGGCTCGACTTGAGCAATCGCAGCGCGCACGACTCGCTCAAAGTGTACCAAAAGATCGTAGCGACGCTGCTGTCAGAACAAGATGAGCACGGCAATCTGGCACGACGCGCAGGTCTCGTCGAGCTGCCTCACGAGGAATCGCCCGAGGGTGTGCGATACTTTGCCTTGGTGAGTCGCCTGGGTCAGCGCGCGCGACCGATGGATCGAGAAGCGTTTGTGTGTGTGTGTATGCGCCTTTTGCGCGATGGTGGAAGCGACGATGTGCACCTGTACGCCCGCTCACGCTCACGCCTCGCCTTGCACTCGCACTCGCACGCCAGGTACGCAAACCCACATCGCTCGCTGCCATCGCGAAGCGCATCGCCGACGATCTAGCAGAGCTGTCAAAGCACAGCTCCACGGCGACGACGGGGCCAGCAGCATCAGAAGCAACATCCGAGGCGCCGCCACTCACACTCCAACAGCATCCCAACTATCCCACCCCTCGCGCTTTCGAGCTGGACCTCATGCAGCTCTTCGAAAACGCGAGAAGGTTCCTGCCCCACGCCACACCCGCCTGCGGAGCGGCATTGCAGCTGCAGCGCCTCTTTCAAACCCTCACATCCGGCGATCCCACACGCCGAAGCACGCGGGAGAGGAGGTACGCGTCGGGCAAGCAGCTGCAGCATCTGGGAGCGCTGCAAAGCTTGCCGCCAGACGAGACGCTGCAAGTGACGCTGGCGTACAAGGACAGGAGGGTGCAGGTGGGCGATTGGGTCCACGCTGCCAGCGAAAAGGATCCATCCAGACCCCTGGTGGCGTGCATCTTTAGACTCAGCACATCCCCAACGCTCGGCGCTCGCATGTGGCTCAACTACTACGCTCGCCCAGAGGAGACATCGCATGACAGCAACAAGACGTTTCATCCGCAAGAGATTCTCAAGACAAACGTGTTTGGCGTGCACGACGTCGCAGACCTCTTGGAGCACACCTTTGTCCTCTTTGACCGCAAGTGGCTTCGCATGCGACCCACGCCCGACCCTCGAGGCCAATTCTGGAGGACGCATGAGCAGGTGTGGATGTGCGCGGACAGGTGGAGACCGGATCTCGGCACTTTCATCAAGATCAAGAATTGGGCGCAAGTGCTGCCCGAAGGCATCAAAGAGTCTGACAGGTGGGTGCCGCGTGGGCGCACACATGGCTTATCCTGCTTGCTCCGCTGACACATGATCGTTCTTTTCGCACGTCGCACACGCGCAGACTGGACAGTCTAGAGGAGCCTCTGGAAATGCCACCCCGCGTCTCATCGCCCTTTCTCCGCGGCGTCGTCGGCCCAGGTCGGCTGACTACGGAACCAGCACCTCAGCGCGTCAACTATCGCTCCGTCAATGCGCCAGTCGTGGGTTCGGAGGATGCTTCTCCTGATCCCACCACTCCAAGAGCGCCACCCAAAGGACTGTCGCAGGGAGTGCCCCAAGCTTTGATCCACGCCGCTCCGCACAACCTCACACCGCGCACACAGCAGCATCCGCACGGCCGACCTCCTCCTGTTGCGGACTCGACACCGCAGCATCCGCCTCCCTCGAGACAGTACGGTCCGCTACCGCCGGCCGTGGGCCCTCCGGTCATCGTCGGTCAAAGAGGTCCGGCCGAATCTCCCTTCGAGCCAGCCATTCAGAGCACCCTGCTGGAGTCCGCATTCAGACGCATCCGCAACAGCAGTCCCGCTGCACTGAAACCTCGCATCGACGAGGCGCTCGATATCCTCAAGTCGCGATTCGGCGCCCACGTATCCCAGGCGGCCTTTGAACGGCTAGGATCGATAGAGGGCCCTGCTCTGGATGTGGTGGAGCTGGCAGTCGCGCTTGGTTGCCACGGCACGCACAATCTCAACCTGCTCAGGAGCCTGCAAAGCCTCCTCATGCACGCCAGAGCACACCAACTCGACGAGCTGCTACCGGATCCCATTGCCACTCGATCGCGCGACAAGCGCAAGCGGACCAAGGCCGAGTGCGCAGATGTTTGGTCTGCGGTGGCCGGCAGCGAGGCTTACAATGCCATGCTGCCTGAAGAGACGCGTGAGTAGCTGCGTGTACATGCGCGTGCTCGTGGGTGATCACTATCTGACGACCTGTGCCTCCGCTTTTCCCCCCTCCCAGAACGCCTCTTTGAGCGCGACGAGCGCGGCAAGGTGCTGTGGTACCCTGCACCGCCCTTGGACGGTCCGACTCAGCATCTCGCTCGCAGCAAGGGCCAGACGGATCCCACGCTGGCGAAGTATTCGTTGGCCTACCTCGCCTGGAGGGCGGGCAAGCGTGCCAAGGGATGAGGCGCCGTGTGCGCCGTGCTCGTTGCAATTGTATACCATGTTTGAACGTGATTCGCGATTGTTCGAAGATGAGACTGTGCGGACAGATGATCCGTGCTCGTCATGTCGAGGCCAAGAAAGACCCGTGGAGCCTTTCGCGCGTGGCGTTTGGGGACGTGACCATCTCAACCTCGGTCATTCGCCTGAGCAGAGCAATTCGCTCACATCCTGCAAAGCTTGTTGCTATCGCCACGGCGAGTCGTCTGAGTCGCGCAGAACATCACCCTGGTAAGCTTCGTCTCACATGGCGCTTCATTCTTTTTTTGCCGCGGCAGGAAGTGCTGAAGATGGATTGCTAGTAATACAATGGCCGAGACGGTACAAGATGCCATGTCCCACACGGACGGTCACTTTGCAGCGCGTTGCTGCTCGTCGCGCCACCACTGCATGCGATCATGAAAGTTGGTCAGCCTGCGCCAGTGCAAAACATGGCGCGGTTCATGTCACCTACCTTGGCGCTCCTCTCGATGGCCTCTTCCATGCCTACCAAGGGTGTGTAGCCTAGCGCTCGGCGTGCCCTTTCGATGTTGTAGTACTGCGCAAGAAGTCGCGGCGTTGAGTCTCGCGCCACCACCACCACCACCACACCATACCGCCCGCATCTGCACTCACACGCTTAGAGACGCTGAATGTGATCTTGAATCGCGTCATGTCCGGTTTCGTGCCAAACATCCATCCGAACCACTCTTGAACAGCGGCAATCGGAAAGGCGAGATCCACTGGCACATTCCACACTTTGGCAGGGTCCACAATCGTACCGTCATACGCCTTCCACAAAGCGCGAGGAAAGTCAAAGAATGGCATTGGCTGAGCGAGCAAGCGGCAGCGTCGACGGCGTGAGCTCGATTTTTACGGCCGCCTGGCACCCGCACGCCCGTCCACACACTTACCTGACCATTGGTAATGTGAAAGACTTGACCGTCGACGCGGACACCCGGATCTTCCTTGGCATAGTCCCACACGTTGGGCAAGGGATTGTTGATGCTCTCCACACCCTCTTGCAGGAAGAATTGGTCAAACTTGTTTCGCGCGACACTGGCAGGGAGCGGGAAAGAACGCATTCAGCCGTGGCGCCAAAGCATTCTCGCAAAAAAGCTGCTCACCTTCGAACGTCAATCGTGGGCACCTGACCATCCAGACCACGCTGCTCTCGCGTCAATGTGCTTGGCAAGTCTGCAGCAAAGTCGGGCACGCCAGGTGGACTGAGTCTGCTTTCGGAGGTGGGCACGCGGCGATCTGCCTTGTCGGTCAGGGCTGCGACCTTCAGAGGGACGTGCACGCTGGCAAGGAACTCTGCAGGATAGACGGGCGAAGCCGAAGACAGCTTGTCGGCTGCGAGTAAATGAGCGTGTGCTACATTGTCCACATATGTCCAGTCGAAGAGATTCTTGTTGTCGCCAAGCTGAAAATTGGTCTTTCCTGAAGCAAGCACCTTGAAAAAGCCAGGCAGAGCTTGTCGATCACCGGGTCTGCGAAGAGGGGGGCGGGGGGCAAGGGAGCGCGACGCTCTTTAGCGCGACGGGCGCATCGCCTTGCGCTGACTTGAAGCTGCCCACTCACCCAAAGATGCCAGCGGGCCGAATGGCGCACGTCTTGAGGTTCTTTTCGCCATTGGCTAGCAGCACGAGCTGCTCTGCACGAGCCTTGGTCGTCGAATACTCGTCAAAGACGCGCTGAGGGTAGGGCAGCCTCTCGTCGGCATTGACGAGGTCCGTGCCGTCAAAGATGACGCTGGCAGAGCTGGTAAAGACGAGCTTCTTGACGCCGGCCTCTTGCGCAGCTTCGATGACGTTCTGCGTTCCCTGCACATTGACCAGTTCGTACACCTGCTTCGAGCTCGAGTCTGCGAGCGGGGATGCGGTGTGATAGACGACATTGGGTTTGAGCGATGCAAAGAGGAGTGCGAGCGATTCCTTGTTGGTAATGTCGCCCTTTTCAAAGCTGCTGCCTGTGATGCTGGTGCTGAGGCTGTGCTGATCAGGAGACCTGACATCCACATTCACCACGCGCTTCTCCCCTCTTCCCACCAACGCCTTGATGATGGCCGATCCCAAGAATCCAGAGCCGCCAATCACCACGTGGCACTCGGCCGATGCTGCTGATGTCGACATCTGCGTTGTGAAGAGGGGAAGGAAGAGCAAGAGGGAGTGAGCTGTGCGAGCGGGCGGGCGAGCACACTGCCCGCATACAGCCACAGCCACTGCCACAGCCACTGCCACTGCCACTGCCCCTGCCACTCCACACGCCTTTGCCCACCACGCAAGCGGTGCACTGCTGCACTGCACACATTCAGATAGGGGTGAAAGACATTTTGAAAGATGATTTGGTTCTTCCTCATCGCGAACAAATGAATGCCGCTGCAGAGTGAACTATGAATATATGCTGACTCATCATGATTGGGCTCGCTCGCTCGCGCTGCTTGCTTGCGTTGCTTGCGTGGCATGGCATGGCATGGCATGGCATGGCAGGGCGGGGTGCTGGATGATGTGGACGCCGTCTACTCACCTCGTGTTGATGAGTGGGGTGGCAGTCGAGAGCGTTGGCGTTGGGTGTGTGGTGTGTGGTGTGGGTGTGGGTGTGGGTGTGGGTGTGGGTGCGGGTGTGGCCGCGGGTGTTGCGTATTGCGTGCGCACCTGGGTGGATGCGGATGGCGAATGGTGGAGCGATGCAGACAGGCAAAGGCTGTGAGCAGCCAGCATTGGAGCCGCGTTTCGTCGAAAGCTTCGCGCGGCGTGGCGCGATTTCTTTGCAGCTGTTCCCATCCGTGCGCCTCGCGCCCACGCCCACGCCCACGCCCACGTGGCCGGCTATCCATTCAATCACCAGCAAGTCACGTGAGTCAAGAGTGCAACCCAACACCCCATGCACGGTCGCATCACGTGTGCACACACTCGCGAGAAGAAGCGGGCAAAAGCAAAGCAAATTGAATCAAGAATCAAAGCAAGAATCAAGAATCCAAATGGTGAACATCGTGATTGCGGCGACGATCAGAGGTTTGCCCGAAGCGGAGTCGAGAGTCAAGTTCAATTGCACGGCACAGCGCAGGGCGGCGCGGCGCGGCGCGGCGCACGGCATGGACGGACAAATGAGAATCAAGAATGTCGAATAGGGGTTTCACCTCACCCGCACACGCACCCGCACACGCACACGTTCACGTCTACGATGGCCCAACTCACATTGACATTCTCGAATCGCCATCTCAAGAGTGATTTCAGGGTCCGCTTTACGTAACGCTAGCTTGTTTAGAAGCGCATCATCAAGTACATGGTAGCGTGATAGATGTGATTGGCTGGCTGGCTGGCTGCCTGCCTGCCTGCCTGCCTGCCTGCCTGCCTCGTGTGAAAAGAGTGATTGCGGGTGCGAGTGTTAGGCAGCACCTTGTCATCACAAAGGCTTGACATTCCCTCCGCTCCGCTCCTTTTCCTTCCACCTCCCTTGCAATCACACTCCTTGCAATCACACTCCTCGCAATCACACTCCTCGCAATCACACTCCTCGCAATCGCACTCCTTGCACTCCTCGCACTCCTCGCACTCCTCACCATTCCCCCACGCACGCGCATGACTTGTTCTCATTCTGCAGCCACTTTGGCAAAAGCGATTCGTCATGCCCTATCAGGCTCCTCTTCCAGCCCTGCCATTCCCATCACTGACGTGTATGCCGCTCTGAGCGACGAAGAAGCAAGCGGCCACATCTTTGCCGAGCTTGCCCTGCTCTCTGCGCCCCCTCGATGGAGCGGCAGCGCAGTGGAGGGCGATGCCGCCGGTCACGCTACCGTTGGCCTCACGCTCAACCTCGCAACTGCACAGCTCACGTCGCTGCAGAGCGAGTGGCACAATGCCAACACCGCGCTGCCCAATGTTGTCGGTACCATGCGACGCTGGCCAATTGGTGCACAAGCCGACGCTGCTGCTGCTGCTGCTGCTGCTGCTGCTGCTG